GAGATGCACAGGGCATTAATTCCGACATATATTTGGGTGTGAATGTGGACAAAGAGTCGTGCATTCATACTGTAACAAAGCAGCTGAGTCACATCTGCAAAAAGAAGAAATGAAAGTGTGTGATTGGCACTGATTGCATCATATCCACGTAATAAGATTCCCATAATGATCGTGTTGAATTGAGTTGAGGTTCTTTAAATACAATCACATTGAAGCAAAACCCAATAAACTGAGAGAGCAGAGGAAAACACTCTCTCGGAGTCTCTCCTTATATTAGCATGGCCGCTGAGAGAGAGAGAGAGAGAGAGAGAGAGAGAGAGAGAGAGAGAGAGAGAGAGAGAGAGAGATCCACAGCAAAATTCAAGGAGGGTGATGAATGCGTCTGTCGTTGCTATCAAACATGAGAACGCACTTCGTACCCATCTGCGGCCAAGTTCATCAATGGCAAAAGTTGCCGCCAAACCTTTGTTCACCCATAGATGATCTATGAGTTAAGAATCTATGAGCTAAAAATAGTAAAAGACAATGTGACACAGTCTGCAGCTAAAAATCCATGAGTTACAAAACCATGTGACACAGCCTGCCCACCTATGTAACCGTTTGAACGCCATGAACGCGCGTTCACGTTCAAACTCGCGTTTGAACGCGGATTCAAATTCGCGTTCAAATTTGAACGCTGTTCAATTTGTTTATTTTATTTTTATTTTTTATTTTTTTTTAGGAGCCTCTCTCTCTCTCTCTCTCTCTCTCTCTCTCTCTAGTAGGTGGTTAAGTGTCCTGACTCTTCAGAAATTCGCTGGTGGGCAGAGCTACACCCTCTCCAACAATCGCTGGCGACTCTGAAGAGTCCGAACACTTAACCACATCGTCGTCTCCACGCAGTCAAGACTATATATCTTACAGACGTCAGAGCGACAGCAGCCACACATGGCCTGGGGAGGGGTGGGTGTCATTCCTACGACTATGCAGTGAGAAGAACCGAGCCTTCTTCAGCCAAAGCTAGAAGCGTGATGATATTTGCCATGAAGTAACACGAAATTCGATTTTTCTTTTCTTGAGAGGGTTTGTTTTAATAATCATCAAGTCGGAGTTGGATCAGGTCATCCATGTTCTTCCATCATCTTCTCATCATTGCTCCACAATGCTCAATGGCCGTCGGCCGGCGCCTAGGTAACCACCACTCGGACACCATCATTATCGTTCCTGGCGGCGCCGCGGCGGTGATGGTACACGATGGGTTTGGGAGAGTGGAACGTTGGCAGTTCTTGGGTTTGACGACTGGCATGGCCCAGGACTCTTGGTTGGACTCATCGACTTGTTCATCTTGCCGTTGAGGGTGTATCGTTTAATAAGGCCTCTCTTTTGACTGGTTGTGTGTAATTTACTAATTTCTCTGTGACTGGTGTGTTGCTCTCACGGAGTCTCACCATTACCCTCAAGCATCAAGCAACCCTGCTGTCATTGAAATTTGAAAATTGCCAACTTACACCTGTTTTTTTAACTTTTTTTTTTTGGGCTACCATGTACAATTAAAAAAAAAAAAAAAAAAACTGCTTATAACTTGTCTTCTGACATTTTCTGCCTTTTTGTGTGTCAGATTGAGGAACTGCGACAACAAATAAAGCGTCATGAAAAAAATGAAGCAGAGATCAGGGAAGAGATGGCGAACAAGAAGGTCGTGGAAGCGATAACTGAACGTACGAAGGGGATTGCTGCCTTGCATGCGCAAATTGCTGCCTTGAAAGCACAAGTAAAGGATCTGGAAAAGGAAAATGAGACCGAGAGGTTTGTAGTAATTTGTACCCTTGTAAGTTTGTACATATTATGCAAGGGCCTGTCTTTTTTTTTTTTTTTTCGGGGTGGGGGGGCCGCCCGTTTTCTTGAGGTGCTTTCTTCCCTTTTCTCTGTTATCTCCCCTGGTACCCTTTCTTGAATTGCATTCTTCTCCCCCCCYCCCCCCCCCCCCCCCCCTATTTTTTTTTCTTCCAATAACGCTCCGATCTATTCGTGGGGAGCCACACGTGGTGGGAACCGGGCCCAGCGTCCCTTTCTTTGCGATCTACCCTTAGGCTACCGTCTTCACCCGAATACAAGGTACGGTCATTATTGATGTATCTAGACTCAAAGTTGCCCCAAATACAGCTATAATAACCGTACCTTGTATTCAAGTGAAGACGGTAGTGCTCATCTGGTCAACCATGACGAAGAAATGAGGGTTGGTTTTGCAACCTCTCCAAGCTTTTTTTTTTTTTTTTTTTTTTTTTTAATTTTTTATGAAGGGCCCAGTGCCCAAGGTTGACATTACCAATAGGAGGAATGAGGCCGGGGTCCTCACAACTTGCAAATCGCTGAATTCATTCTAGGAATCAAACCCACGATCCGCTGCACTCATTGACAAGTGTTCCAAAGCGGAACACATACTGTTAGGCAAAGTGAGCTGGGATGAGAAGAAGCGGGGAGGAGGAGGGTTTGGATGCCTACCGTAGCAATTCAACTCCTTGATTCCCACAGTGTCGTGCGACTAGAATTTTAAGCAACAAGGGAGCATGAAGAAGAGGGACGACGTGAGAAGTTAAGGTGAGGGTGCGAATGCCCGCAGCTGAAGCACGACATTCTTGTCTTCATCTCGTCAAATTATTTATAAAACAAGGAGTTTGAATTGGTTGGGCTTAAAAGAATTAGCCTTAAAGAAAAAACAAAAAACAAACAAACAAACAAACAAAAAGAAAAAACAATCTGACAGAAACGCCCTGGCCACTGGAATCATGAGGAGCCAGGAGGATGAAGAAGACAAAGCAAGAAGGTATGGTGATGGTTTGAAGTTGGAACAGCAGGCAGCTGGACTCGAGGACCATACCACAGGAGCAAAGACTTGCAAAGCCAACATGGCTTCAGCGCAGTCATGCAAAATGACTCGGTAATACTCGATATCCTATTATCCGCCCGGTATCTGACCAAAACTTTGATTGGAACATGTTTCGATCAAGTCTGTCTTTTCATCATCCGTCGATCAAGTCTGTCTTTTCATCATCCGTCGATCAAGTCTGTCTTTTCATCATCCGTCACTCTTCCGCCACACAATTGAGGAAAACTAGAGCAGCTGTGGAGACAGAAATGAAAACCACAGCTACAGTATCGGAGCGTAGGGCTCTTTTCTTCCTCCGTTGGAAGGACGGACCATCTGACCTTCAATAGCTACATTGAGATGACGTCGTTCAAATGCAGCTACCCACGGTGAAATTCCCGCGTGCGTTTTCTTGCATCCGTACGGTGGGCTTGTAATCCTTCTTAGCCTCAATCCAAGGTGTTGTGAGGTCCGCTAAGCATGAGGGCTATTCATGATGCCTGGCCTCCTTAAACCACCAGTACATGGCCCCAGCCAAGTTGAGAATCCGATTGAGATCCTGAAATTTCGGAGGCTCGGAACAGGGTGTCTGAAGGGCCAGTAGAAAAAGAATAATTATGCCTGCCCCCAAGCGGGCCCCGCCCCGAGTCCCATAACTTTCCAGAGAGCCGCATTCAAATTCTCTAGAGGTACTGGTGGTTTAAACCACCAGTATTTCCCAGCTGTTTTGCGGAGACGCGCCAGGTAACGCGGTGGCCAAGTGGGGGAGGGCCGCCGTCGATAGATAAATCGAATCGGCGGCCCGTTTTTCATTTCGGCCTTCCGAAACTGCCCGCAGCCGACATACGGGAAAGGTACTGTACTACTGGTGGTTTAAGCAGCGCGTCATTCTGACACTTGCCTGTCCATCATCTGAGAAGTTAAGCGTACCCATGTCTCCACTCCAAACTGCTATCCTCTCTTCTCCATACATGTCATCTCCCTTCCTCTCTACTGGTATTTTGTTAACCCTACCTTCATCGACTCGCAGCCCCCCTCCATCTCAAGGATGGGATGATCTCTCTGTCCGTTGCCTAATTCTTCACTGTAACATTTCCCAGTTGACACCCCCTCAAGTTTCCCAAATTAGCCCCCCCTTCCCTCAGGTCGCTAGGCGACGCTGACCTGCCGCAGATCTGTACCATGGTTGTCTCATGCCAAACACTTCTGTCCATATCAAGCCCATGCTGTTGCCGCACCCCCTTTCTCTCAGTGCCTAACTTGCCGTCCTCTACGCTGCTGGCGTGACACCGCCCTTCAATCGATGCCAATGGCTACCATCACCTCCTTCACTACATACTCCCTCCTGTTCCCTTTGCCTAAAAGTATTATACCCATCCTCCCTCGTTTCTCCAGTCTTCTCTACTGTATCTGATGCGCCCCGTTTCCCAGCCTTAACAAAACACGTTCCGGCTCTTCGCATAGTGCAGATATCGCCGGGGGGACCAAACACCAGCTATAACTACAAGGGTCGTTGGAAGCCGAAACTGGTCCCAAACAGGCCCGCTCCCTGCAGCGTTCCTCTCAGGCCTGATCTAATCCGGTCTGGCCCACAAAATCAAACAATGTTTCCAGCCCTCAGTTTTGCAGATGCTCATTTAAGACCCGTACGGGCCTGATACGGCTGCCCCAAAAAACACAGGTTAGAGGCGAATGGGCTACTGGGGAGTTGATTCCCCAACCTCAGTCATCCTGGAAACGTGCCCGGGAAGAAGGACAAAAAGGAGAAGAGGAGGAAGAGGATGACAGAGATGAGGGCGAGGAGGAGGAGGTTGAGGAGGTCGGCGATGGCAGGGGATGAGGGAGATGAGGGGCAGGGCCATCAATTGGGTGCAGGTAGAAGCATCTGGACTGCAGGTGGGCCCAGGGGTGGACTGGACTGGACTGGAAAGGACTGGTGCACTTTCCGGAGCTTTGGACAAGGCACGGGCAGGCAACGGTGAAGGGAGAACTTTTTTGCTTAGCAAGTTCTTGGGTCTGAGCAAACTTCATAAACTAGCTGAATCAAATCGTAGCTTTTCTCATTATGCACTTGCACTAAGAAAGGTAATGTTGCTGTTTGAGTCTGGTTGTACAAATCTGCATGCTGGAGGACGTCTTAGTTTCCTTTGAGGACTTTCCTGCACATTGCGTCCCCCCCCCCCCCCCCCCCCCCCTTTTTGGGTTGGTTTTGAACTTTTTTCAAGTTTTTTGTTTTGTTTTCTTGTTTTTCGTTTTTTCTTTTCTTTTCTTAATTTATAACTCAGCTCTGCTGCCTCTGCACATGGCCCCTTTTCTTTTCTATTCTTCATCTATGTTGAATGAATTTCAATCTGATATGAGCTGGCCTTCGCAGTCTTGACGGGAACCTCAACCACCAGGTACTATATAATATATATCATCCTTCGTCTACTATTTGTCGACCATATCTTTATTAGCTTTCTTCTTTTTTGTTTTTATTTGTTTTTTTTTTAGCTTTCATTTGCTCGCTAAGTTCGTTTCCTTCGGTATTTCATTAAGCATGTGTTAACCATGGTTCTGCCATTTGGTTTGTTGTTTGTTGCCATTTTTTGTTGGTGGTGCTTCACTGAGGTGCTCTCAGGGAAAATGAAAGGCGGTTAGAGGAGGAGAGAAATGAGAAGAACAAGCTGATGAAGAAGTTAGAGGAGCTGCAGGCTTCAAGGGGTGTTTCATTTGTATGTTATATATATTTTGCTCTGCGATGTGCATTCGCCTTGACGTGGCTCATCCCCCCCCCCCCCCCCCGCCCCTCAATTACCCCCCCTACCAGGAGGAACGACTAGTTTTCGAGCACGCATGGCACCCTGCCATCCAACAGACAAAAATCGGATGAGCATACTGTGGGGCCACGTGGAAAATCCTCAGAAACTGCATGACCCTCACCCCGGATCCTGATTGTGTTATCCTGCATGCCTCACTACCCTTCCCCCCCTCCCCCCCCCCCCCCCCCCCCCCCCCAACTCTTCGATACTAACACTCAGTACGTGAGTGACATCATGACATGCCCGTATGTGCTTGTTTTACCTATTCGAAACTCGTTTTCGTTAACGATGTCCTAGGCTCCAGTACAACTGAAAAGAAACGGCTGCATGACCTTTGCTTCACCTTTGCTTCATTCCATTATGGCGAATGACAGTGCGGTTGTTTTTTCACTGTCCTGAAAAAGTAACACCACCAGCTTGACGCTCCCTCTCGTTACGGCCAAAAGAATCCGTGACGGAGTTTATTGCCCCCGTAAGAAACAGTCAGAGGAGGACTGACTAATTTGACTGTGTCTGTTTCACCCATGGCTACGCCGGACCGGACCCCGGAACGAATCCGGGCCCCGGATCCCGGACTTTCCAGGCCCTCCCGGAACTCCGGAACTCCGGAATGTTCCGGATTCACATTCCGGATGTCTATCCGGATTGACATATTTTCCGGCAAAAAAAATAAATAAAAATAAAAAAATCATGGTATATTCATACATTACCTCAGCGTGCAATGGGCACTGTGCTGTCACTGCCAGCGTGCACACTGCACACAGAATCACAAATGGTTGAAATGCACAAGTTAGTAGCACAAGTTGCACAACTTGAACTGTGTTGATGACTCAGAAGAGTCAGAAGAGAGTTAAGACTCAAGAGACAAAATGAGGAGGAGGACTTAGAACTGAATAAATACTAATTGAATATCGACGGATTATATCGTCATTTGGGCTTCTAGCCTTCTAGACCGCCGTTCTACCGTAAGTGTGATAAGTCTTTGTAGACAATGCAGAGTCATTCATGAATCATGATTCACGAATCATGAATGACCGCCCCAAAACCGGCAGTCTCTCTCTCTCTCTCTCTCTCTCTCTCTCTCTCTCTCTCTCTCTCTCTCTCT